TTTTTTTTTCAAATTTTTTTTTACAATTGGAACAAATTTTAGACCCAATGGTAGAAAAAATTATCACTTTAATGGACAAATTCCATAAAAAATGAAGTCAAATGGACACAAAACTTTCTACATTTTCCATAGAAAATTTTACCAATCAAACACAATTAATTACCATTCCCAGTAAAACATTTTCTAGGAAAATTAATTCTCTGTAAAACATTTTCTTTCCACCCATTTTCCAACTTTGCAATCAAAAGTTATTTTCTAACTCGAATAAACTCGATTATTTCCATTAACTCTATCTTAAATTGAATGATCTAGAAGGTTGAGTAGACCAAAGAAGGTGATTTCCAATTTCATTCGACCTTGTTAGATATTTTGATAAAATTTTCCAACTGTTATCCATCAAAATCGCTCAATTAAAAAGTCAATACGAGTTGAACAATTTAAGCCTTCCAATTCACAAGTGCTAACATATTAACAAATTAATATGCAATATTAAGTTGTACTTTTCCTACTATATAGAAAATTATCTGGTACAATACGACGATTGATGTACCAGAATTATATGATTTTACTTTTAATTGAATTTATTGCATTATGTCAGGTATGTTAGAGCGCTAGATAATATATATTCAAGAATGTTTACATTTTAATTTTCTTTCAAAATTCCAATCGTCTTGTTTAAGTAATACAAGTGTTTTCCAACTAATTTCGTATTTAATTAGTGAATTAACTTGTATCCTTTGGAAAAATCCAAAGATCAGTACAAGTCTGAAAATTCCATGGCCTGCAAATCTCTGTCTGCATTAATCCTACACTCACATAGGCGAAAAAATCAAAGCTTGCAAATGGCGGAAGAAAACGACGACACAACAATCCAAACCTTGTATTTACACTTGAAATGGAATTATCTTGAAATATTTCAACCTCAATCATCAGCGTATGATCAAAATAAGAGAAAACCTCAATGGAATCGACCTCCAATTCCACTTCAAGATTTCGATTCAGAGATCATAATCAAGAAATGGGCGATGATGATTCCTCAGAAGGCCACACAAGTGTAGATTATTCTTCTGTAACTAGCGATGAAAATGTCGACGCCGAGCTTCAATCCATGACTGCCAAGGTTAATCTAAAGCATACTGATTCTTGAACAATCTTCACCTATAGTGCATTTGGGGTGCAATTTTAGTTTCTTTTCCATTCTTACTGTATAATTATATATGTTTGTTTGCGAGTAAGCATTTATTTATCAGAATATTATGTGTTACTTGTGATCTTGTAGGGTGTTCAGCATCTGTGTTCGGAACTTCTGGAATTGAAGCAGGAGTCGGATTTGGATTTTCAGAAGAGCATCTTTTCAAATTACTCTGCCTTTCTTGCGTAAGTTCTTGATCGAATTAACTGTGTTTTTTTTTTGGGTCCTAAATGGGTGCTGTTATTGGATTTGCAAAATGGGAAATGGGAATTTGTTCATCAAGTTTACAAATTTTTCGGGACTGCTCTGGATGTCATTTTAATTTGTATTATTTCTGTAATGCTCAAATTTGTGCATAAACAATTGAAAATGTTGCTTTGAAATTTGACAATTTTGCTTCAATGGAGATTCTCATCCATAGGCTTCATATCTTGTTGAAGATATATTTAAACGGTATACATTGGGGTCATCTAACGACTTAAGCATTTAGATAAAGTGGTTCAACATATCTTTATCCAAGAATGTATGTCTTTGAACCTGCATCACTGATGGAACTAGTCTTCATTATAGTACAATTCTCTTCACGTTTGGTATCTCTTATGAATCCCTGACTGGCATAAGGCAGCAATAGGGCATTGTGTAATGATGTAATTATCCAAGATGTCTTAGTTGTCCCGTCTTAGTTACTACGTGATAATTGTTTGGTGTTTCAACTTTAGGAGATTACGTAGGGTAACTTATGGCCTTTCTTTTGATGCTCGTTAATTGCACCATTCTAAATTAATTAATTAGGCCCTCAATGAAACCTGTCACTGGTAAACAAGAATTAATCTATTCATATTTGCAGAATATTTAAAGAGATAGAAGGCCTGCAAAGTGAACTGTTGCAACTGAAATACCAGGCCTCGTCACAGAGGAAGCTCGTAAAAGATCTTAGAGACGGCATTGCTTTAAAAGTTCTATCAGAAGAAACTATAGTATCAATGCATGAAGAACCTCTTCATGTGCAACTATCTTCTCCAAGCATATTGGAGACACACACTGAAAATGTTTCTGAACTCCTGGATACTCTTCTTTCAGAACACAGGCATGATGATGCTCTTGCGCTCCTTGAAATGGAAGACGGGTATTTCCAAAGTTTGCGGTTGGAGCAAAATTTTTCCTCCAATGAGTTAATGTCCTACAACTCCATGATATCGGAGAAGAGGGCTATGCTTTCTGATCAGATCACATTAGAGGCAAAAAATCCCAGGGTGTCTGCACCAGAGCTGCAAAGGGCATTGCTTCAATTGTGCCAACTTGGTGATAGCAATCTTGCAACTCAATTACTGCTCCAGTATTATCATTCACGTATTGAATTGGGTATTCATGATTTGCAGTCTTCGAAAGAAGTTCTAGACCTGATATATATTCAGGAAGTAGCAAAATTTGTATGTTCTATGATCTCTCGAGCAGCAAGGATTTTCATATCCTTAAATGGAGAAACTTCTCCTCATGCTTCAGACCTAATTCAGTGGGCCGGTGAAGAAATTGGAGTAGTCGCTGCTTGTTTCAATAAATTCGTTACCTCCATATCAGAAATAAGTGGTCGACTTTCAACATCCGTAGATACTATGCAGATTGCAATGTCATATTGCTCTTTGCTAGAGAATCAAAAGATCATCCTGCAACCATCTTTGATAAAGTGCATTCGCCCTTGCGTCGAAGAAGTATTGCAGGTCCATATAGAGCATTTCAGACAAGTTATTAGTATTTTCACATCGACTGATACTTGGGTTCTTGGTAGATATTTTGGACCCGGAATTATAACAGAAAGGAGTTATGCAATCATTGATCAACAACCAGAATACTTATTTCTCACTAACAGCGGGAGGAAGTTTGTGACAATATTTCAGGTTAGTGAATAAAGTTTTCAGGATTGCATATGTGCAGCACAGTATCTTTTTGGCTCACTGTAGTCTCTATACTTTAGACAGTGGAACAACTCTCGACTGGACATTTGTCCTTTCTTAATGACCTATTATAACTTGTAACTATAAAGTTTTCCTGTATTTTTAGTCATTCACGGAGGACGTTGCGCCTTTAGTTGCCCTTCAAATGGAAAGTTCAGTTCTGAAAGGAATCATGGACCTCTTCACGGCGTATATTGTTATCCTTGAAAGTGCCCTTTCGGGTGATACAGATGTCTCAGAGAACGGAGGTTCCAAAGTGAATTTTCCAGAGGCGCCAGTACAGGAAGTTTCCATTTTAGCCAGTTTGTCAACACTGGTGCAATTTGTCTCCAGCATAGTTAAAAATATCTTTGATGGCATTCACGACCTGGACTTTGAGATTGATAATTACCTACTGTTCGTTCAAGACACATGCAGTCGACTTCGAACTTGTTTTATTGAGGAATTCATAAATAACATATTATCTTCAGATGTCGACCATCAATGTATTCCAGAAAGTCGCATCAGCTGGCAGGACAATTCAAAAATTTACAATCAAGTTCCCTCTCCAACTCACCTGGTATGCTCAAGCTTCTAGATATTGATGTGACTATTTATGTAGATTAATTTTTATATCCATCTGAACACATTTCATCTTGTCTGATTCATCCTAAAAATTCTGCATATTTTCGAGATTATATGCCGAGGGAAAAGATTTTGACGTTTTATCCTCATTATTTATGGAAAGTGATTTTTGAAAGAATAGCTGCTTCAACTTTTTTCTTTGTCTTGTTTTCTGGAACCAGAATAATAATAAAGTATCTGTTATACAAATTAAGGTCAAATGGCATAAAACACTCCATATTCCGTCTTTCTCGAAGTTTTTGAAGTTCTAAAAATTGTTGGCTTGTCTTGTTCCATATTCTTCAGTAGAGGGAAGAATTACGATGAAAAAAATTGCAATTTATTAATATCTTTATTGTGCTTGATGTCATTTTACAACCATATTTGGTACATGTATAAGCTCATGAAATTTTGCCCCTCGACCTTTCAATTAGCAGGAACTGTATCTAGGGCTAAAGAAATTACAAAAGCTTGTGGGGGACGATTGTGTTGATAACAATTGGTTGATG